ACGTGGGAGTGTAGTATGGCTGTGCTTTGACAGGTAACCTGCACCACAGAGGAAGAAAAAAAACTCAAAGGAATTCAAATACTTCCTTCCAGTAAGCTATAATTGTGTGCTTTTGTTAATTCACTCTTCATAATTCCCTCATTACAACTCTTGAATGGTGGTGATTAAACTTAAGAAATTCTTTCAACAGGCGTCTCTTTGAAATAAGTATCAATTAAGTCCTTTATTATTGGATGTTCTCTTGAACAATGACAACTCGCAGCACAACAGTGACTGAGGAAATGCCCTCCTGTACAATAAGTGACGGCACACAGCCGTAAGACGACCTGATGATGGGAGGAAGTCGGCGTATCGCCACGTTCTGACTCTGGAGCTGTTACTAGCTGTACTTTGTAGTCAAACAGCAGGTAGATCAAGTGTTTGGTGGGTTATTAAAGTTAAAGACCCCCTCTGTTACCGCGTTAACACGTCTGTACGGTCTTATTTGTCGTACATCGTGAGCTAAATAAGCAGCCAACGCCACGGCGCTACCCTGAAGCTGCAGCGTGCTGATCACAGCCTCAAAAACACAGATTCACCATCCAGGATTTAACAAGCTAACGATCAATCCCATGAACGTGCAGCTTTCTGTGCTGTTCTTCTTCTTCTTCTTCTTCGGCTGAATTCCTCCAATATTACAACCTGCCATTGTGCTGCCAACTCCATCTGCACAAAGTGTGTTTCTATGCAACTAAACTCTCATGCACATCATGTGACATGGCAGCCAACCAATCACATACGAGGTGGTAGAACATGGAGGACAAGCTTCAAATGTGCAGTAAAAAGGTCATGTTTTAACCAAACCCATGATTGTTTCCTGAACCTAATCAAGTCATTTTGGTGCCTAATTTAACCAAGTGTCTAACACATGCTCATCTTTCTGAAAATAAAAGCAGGACATTGTGTTAAACCAACCACATGGCTAACGAGGAGGACTGAGAGGAAACTGAAAGCAAACAGCAAACGAAAACAAAACAAAGCATAATTACTCCACTGAGACGTGACTCCTGTTGGAGACAACGCTACATGTAGCATCGAGCACATCGAGCTGCAGGTGAGCTGGTGTGCTGAGGCTGCAGCCAAGTGGGTGGAGGGATGCAAAGGAGGGCAGGAGCTTCATACGCATACCTGAAGAAACAACGGCGAAGATCTGAGTCATTTAACAGCTGGAAGGACTGTTTTCATGTAAACATGTAACTCTGATGCTCACAGACGAGCTTTCGGGGTTTAACCGCTGACCTCAGAGGGACGGTAGCTCTGATCCTGTTGTCATTCACACTGTTCAAACAATTCATACGTCAGTTTACACGCTGAGCTACGGAGCGACTGGCAATCACACGTAAACATGAAGCTTTAACTCATGAGCTGAAGCGCTCGGCAGAGTTTAAGAACAACATCTTTATGTGAGAAACTTCCCTGAGAATACTTCTGCTGGAAGCGTTCCTGCTGCGCTTCAGCCAAAATCTGAGCCTCGGAGAGGAAAACAACGTTACCGCTTTCTTGGCAAACGTGACAGGTTAGAAGCAAGTTGACATTCAATCTGTTTCCCTATCATAACCAGAATCTTTGTTCACAATTGAGTTATAAAAAAAAAGGACATATGCCTGTAATTACTGTAACCACAGGCAAAAGATCATCGCCAACCCGTATCCTTTCAAGGAGTCATGAAAGAAAACACTTCAACTTGAGATGCCAAGTAAAAAGCGGAGGTCTTTCTCACAGCGCCGGCTGTTAATTGATTTTGTCCATAATGAAGTATGAAACATAAACATTCTGCTTTTTGAGCAGATTTGTTCGAGCAGAGCTTTAAATAATTCTGCAGTGTTTCATTCACCTTTAGTGGAGACGACTGATCGGCTCGCTGTAACCACAATAAAGACAAAAGGAAGCAGGGCTCCTGTCTTCCTCTACCTCATGCCATTAACATGTATAGATCAGGATGTGTTCAGAGTTAAAATGTGGTGCCTGGCGCCCTGAAGGGCTCCAAAACCCGCAGAGGAGCCGAGTCAGGCTTTATCAAGTCCTTATCAGCGATTAGAGCGGCAACCCCTGCTGAATGATCGTTTATTAGATCTCCTCACCGTTAAGGTTCAGGGCACAATGATCTTAATTACTGCTGTAATGGGTGTATAAGCAAAAGCCCGGTGTAGTTCAGCAGTGTCAGTGGCAGCTAAATAAAGGGCCGCTCCTGCTCCGGCTCTTAAAAGGCACGTTTGAAGCGCTGGTGTGATGAAAGGCTCCAAATGAAGGGCAGGGGGAAAAAAAAGAACAATAACAAATTGACATCTCTTTTTGGAGAATGATACCACGGGGGAAGGCATTCTCCCGTCCTTAATCACTATAAAATGGTTTAACATGACATGCAGAGGCTGGCAAATGATCAAATCCTGACAGGAGGACAAATTGCAAACAAAATGAGAGATCAAGTTTATTAGAGCGCCGCCTCTGGGAAATGAAAATCTTTAATTCTCTTTTTACATTGACATTTATTTGGCTGGCATGAATAGCGATGTACACACACACACACACACACACACACACACACACACACACACACACACTCACACACACACACACCCTGATCCTACTGCACCTACTACTGTAACTGCTCCGCTGCAATGATAGCACAGTCAATGACATTTATCATGTTTGCCTTTGTAGCTGACATCTGAAACACATTGTCTTTCATCCAGCCAGCATTCATCATGTATTTTATATAAAGTTCACAGCAGCAGCGCACGGCGGCGGCGGCGGCGGCGGCGTCTCCATGCAGGAGCAATGAGAGGAGCAGGCGGGAATTATCCATCACCTCCTGCACAATGGATGGATTCCTGTTCTTTATAACTGTCGGGCTCCTCTTTAAAGATTTCTTTTCAAATTCTCAAGAAAGGAAATCTGCTTCGTGGAACTCTCCTTCTACTCACTTGATCAATTAAAATATATGCCATTAATTAAGGCCGGCTGGTAGCTCAGCGTCGTAATTCATTGACTTGAAGTGGAATCGTGTTGATGGTGTAACTAGCATCAGCACGCTGTTATTTATGAAGTACGACGGATACATAAATAATGTCGAGCACGTCTCTGAAGCTTGAAGACTTTTAGTGTGACGTTGAGAAGCTTCACACACCTGAGTTCAGTCAGTACAGTCTGCTCATAAAGCCACAGCGTGGAGAAGAGCTCTGATGCTATTAGCATGTGGACAGTAAAGGACCCAGAAAGTTGGAATTAAACTTCTGCTCATTGTCAGTTTTCATCATTTATTGATAAGCCCTTATACGGAGGCAGACTAAAGACAAGGCTTCTGTCTGATGTTTCCATTGAGCTGTGAGTCTGAGCAGCAGCAGCGTTGTGCTGAGAAACGCTGCTCGCATTTCTTCCTGCATGTTCCCACAACTTGTGTGTGTGTCCGGCCTTCAGGTAACGACAACGCTGGTCCATGTTGACCTCACAGGAGTGAACTGAGAGCGAATAAATGCTTTATTAAACGTAACGTTGCATTTAGGTGAACATACCGCTATCACCAGTGGGATATAATTTACTAAAAGGAAAATATCACAGCGGCATTAGTTAATCAGTAAATACAGATTTTTTAAAATGTATTTATTCTAATCTGATTTAGTAGTAAGTAAAAAGTATGTAAAGACAGAAGGTGAAAGTCTTTCTACACTACAGGTAACACCTGGAAAACTGTTGTACCTGTTCAGTCCAATTTTGTTTTTAATTTTTACAAAATAAGCAATCAAAGAAATTTTAGTTTTTTAGAATTTACAGCTTTAAAAATATTGTGGAAAAAAACTGTGACAGGAGCAGAAAACACCCAAAGATAATAAGAGAAGATAATAAAAGAATAAATGAATTTCTGTTGATTTATCTACGACAGGCCGATATCGACCACCGCTATCGGCTCATCGATATATCTGTCGGGTTTTATTCCTGTGAGCTAATCCCCATACGTGTGCCTTTCTGTACTAAACACAGTTCATTATCTGTTGTTTTAGACAGATGCTGCTTTAACCTTTAAAACACTCAGTCAGTGCTGCTCAAAATGACAATTAAAATAAAGCAAAGAAAGAAAGTACAGGAACAGATAACTACGTCCTGATGGCTGACACGCCGTCGCCACAGTCGGCTCATAAATACTGATGCCAGCAGCATGAAGCCGAGGACACCGGACACATGTGAAGACCGAGTCCTGCAGTGCTACCAGTCCTGCTGTAGCGCTGCTTCTCTGCAGTCCCCGGTGATGAGTGATATGTTGGAGTCTTTACCTGAGGCCATCTCTCCCCATGCACGACTAGTCTGAACTGAACTGCAAGGGCAATGAGGAGAGACACCCCGTGGCTCCAAACAAAGGCAAAGGCTCCCAGCAGTAATCGGAAACTATCGTCTCTGCTCACACTGCTTAAACCTGCAACCCCTGCTCAGTTATGATGACACTGCCTTTTAATGTCACACTAAAAAATATGCCCTGTATCAAAGGAAATTGGATTGATTTGAGGGCCAGCTCTGTCAACCTCTCCCCAAGGTCACTCTGCCAGCGTTTTGCAAAGAAAAAAAGGAAAAGAAAGAGGGCAGGATGTAAGAGTTGAAGCATTAAAAATTGCTGAGGACTGGCCTGGAGTCTGTCCAAGACAAAGTTAGAAGTACTTCACAAATCAATGCCTGCTCTCTGCATCCCCCACACTTCTTTTATGCTCTGAAATGACAGAATGTAGTGCAAGCATTCTTTTTTTTTTACATCTGGTGTCAATATTGGAGCTTAACTTCAAAGAAATTACTGATAGCATTCTGCTCTCTTCAGTCAGCGATCTAGCATCTATTTAAGGCTGTGTTCTGCACTTTTGAGATATGAGGTTTAAGTGAAGGGTAAAAATGTCCAAGAGGGGCCAGAGTTGGGATGGCTCCGAGTGGGAAGTGTGTGTAGATAAGCAGACAAAAAGCCAACGCAGAGAAAGGCCTACCGACTGTGGCCACGGTGTCGTCCTTGCCCTGGGTGAAGACCACCACTCGCTGCCTCTTTGTGTTCTCCTTGGGCAGGTTTTGGGTCCTCCTCGCTATCTCTGCGATGTCATCGGTCTGTGAAAACAGCGGATCACGGGGCGAATACGTTAAGCTGAATGAATGCAACATGAAGAGCAATTTCTGAGGAGTTAATCAAAGATCACACGTGTGAGTGAGAGAGGTCAGACTTTTCCAATCCTGGCAGACAGATCAAATGATAATGAAACCAGATGGGCCATGAAACCGCTTCCAAGTAGATCAATAGGAGCGCTCGATGATGCTTCCATGCAGTTACAGGAAAGCTGCAAAATATTAGAATGTCATATTCCCTAAGTGAGATGAAAATAAGCGTGTGAAGATACGCCGTTGTCAGATAAAGCTAGCTTTGCGCGCTGAAGGGATAGGTGGTGCGTGTACTGTATCATTCTCTTCCTGAAACAGGCCATCTCTGCTCAGCATCTGCACAGAATGGATATTCTCGCCTGGAGACGACAGAACTCTCCGGAGTGCTTGCCTTTGATCATGAGAGGGATAAAAAAACCCACACCTGTCAGTGCTACTTTATTATTAACTCATCATGATGTACTATGAGCAGGTAGAATGTCTTTATCGCCCGTCTCGCAGTGGGGTGGACTGCTTCTCGGTAATACAGCACACTGAGGAGCTAGCATTAGGGATCGCAGACGCCTCTAGCATCTGTATCAAAGCTAACACTTGAGCACCTTCAGGGTGAGCAAATACTGTGATTATGGGAGTAATCAGAGAGATAGGCTGCAGCCCACCACCACCAGCCTCACTGGCTCACTCAAACCAATGAGCTTTTACACCTCTAAATGCTTCCCAAACGTCCTTTAATCAGCCCTGAGAGGTCCGCGGAGACCCAGGGCCGAGGAAAAATGGGTGTAACACTCTAAGTAAGTGCTAATGGTGAGGTTAATACAGAGGCTGTTAGCAGGCGATGGCGAAAAAAAAAAAAGGGAGCAATTTGTCACTGTGACTGGATGTAACCACAAGCACTCCTCCAGACACTGAATGCAAAAACCACACAAGGCTTCAGCACATTGTCACCCTTAGGTTTTATGTTCGCTGACATAAAAATGGCGCTCTACTCAGGTTTAGGAGCTAAAAGGCTCTGAGGGCCAGAGGTGGTAGGGTAAGCATCACGGCTGTAGAGCAGGGCACACACACACACAAACACTCGTAAACACACACTGACAGACAACTTCCTCCTGGTTTCTTTAGTTTTTTTTTTCCACTCCTGGCAGAAACACTTACCTGACAACTTCCTGGGGCAAAACGATGCAGAAAAATAACGTTGAGCGTGAGTGCAAGACAAATGAATTGACAAATGATACGGTCAATTTGGTTTTACTGCTGACAAATGGCAATATTTACGATTGTGAGGCAATTGATCAGACATGAATCAACAAAGCGTGTAATATGAAAGCTTTACAAGGGTGTTAAATCGCGCTTGTGTGCTGAAGCCAGTGAGAAACTGATCGTCTCCACTGCCGGCTGCTTGAGAAACACTGCAAGAGAGAGATTCAATTAGAGCTGTGATGCAGGCGCTTCTTTGAGCATTTAAAGGAAACGGATCACAAACAGGCGACTGTGTTCAGATCTGGTGATTGCTCTCTTGGAGAGGACGGGCCTTGATTGTTGTATTTATCCTAAAGACGCTGTGCTGTCAGTCAGGACGTGGTGATGGCTGTTTCAGAGCACATTAGAAGCACATCTTCAGCGCTCCGGGTCAGATCCTGACCACATGCAATTACGGTTTCCCTCAAAAGGGCCACACTGGTCAATTAACTGGACTTTTACTGAACTTAAATTAACCTCAGTGGCCTTCACAGAATCTAAATGCACACAGACACTCTTGTGTTCGCTGGGCTTCGGCACCAATTAGTACTTCTGATGTTTTCTTGGACGTTTGTTGAAACGAGTATTTAAAACTATATGTTCATTCTCAGAGTCAGTCTGAGAGAAAACGATTAAATTACAATAAATAAGTAGGATAGACGTCAGTGCTTGAATACAGATATGCTGCCAAAAAGAGTTAATCTGGTTTGAACAAATGCCAGTTCTCATCCTGCCTCATGTGCTGCTTACCAGGACTTCACCGCCTTTAATGAACCATCAGTGAATTATTTATCAATCTGATTTGGAGCAAAAGGAAGTTACTTAGAGTACGGAGCATCCTCAGCTGACATGACAGGTGCTTGTGTATGACACCAGAGACCACCTCCACAGAGCTGTGTGAAAGCCCTCTGCTGATGAAGGCCATGAGGTTTGACTGAAAGCCCCTGAATAATTCAAGCAACTGGATCTTGTGCGATGAATCTCTCCTTAAATACTTGTTGCAGCTTCGTAATTAATGAATCTGATTACTGTGCAGGATTCTGACACATTACAGCAGTAATATAAAATCTATTTATTCACAGTATGAGACCCTGAACATGTCGGTGGGTTTAAAGGGAACGCTGCCTTTAAAAAAATAAATCAGAAGAAGAATTGGCATTTTCAATTATTGATCAAAGCCAGAAACTGTAAAATCACAAAGAATTGTTGGATCTTTAACTTTTCAACAGTTCCATAAATTACTCATTTGTTCTGTTGCAAAACTCGAGTCGTGTTGTTTCATCCATAGAACTACACGACTGGTTTAAAAATGCACCAAGAATAAAGAGTTCCTCGTAAACGAATTCCTTAAAAACAACAACAATAAAATAAAGCTTTCATTAATAACCAACAGTCAGGCAGCAAAAACCTGAAGAGCTTCTGGGTTGAACTGGAAACAGATCAGAAATATAAACAGTGAAATATCTCCAGTCTGTCGGCAGCATGTCCTCACGTCTGTCTGAAAAACCTACATGTTGATTCCAGTTGTTTCATTTTCTGTAAAATCGTTAATCAAAGACATTAAACTTATGATTTTATTTAACATAATTAATGTCATTATAACTGTGTCATACTACAAATCAGACATGTTTGACTTCTGTCTGCCTCCAGCCGTGCTGCTCTGCTCCCATAGAGGGAAATAAAAGAGCCAACAGTGAGTAAAAAATGCAACAGAAGCCAAAAACATAAATAAAAATGCTCAGAAACTGCTCCTGTGTTCAGATTGCTCAACCAGCATGTACTCATAAATGCATTGTGTATGCAGCCATTTCCCTCCATTACCACCAGACAGGAACGCATGCTATCTCCCAGTTTAATCAAAATTCTCAATGCTGCTGCATATTTTTAAAGATTTTTTAAGTGTATATGTGAAGTGCGGCGGCCAGCTTGTTCAAGGAAAGTAAAATTGTCATCAGAAAGTGACAAGAGAGAGAAAAAAAGACAACTGTGAAGAAAACATCTTTGAACTACAAGCATCTAGAAATGCAGCGAGTACAGTACACAGCACTGATGTTATCTGAGAAATCACATTCATCCAATGCAATTTCGCAGAGTGTTCTGCCAAATCAGGTTGACATGGAAAATGTCAAAGAATTGTAACTACTAGGAGAGTCTTCACTTTGCCCTTTGTGTTTTTTCTTCCATGTGAGGCCCGTCCATTACCACTCAGCCCCCTACATCTCCCCCCGACGCTCTCGCCTTCATCCCTTCTCCTCTCTTAAACCTGTCACTGCCATCAGGATTGCATTTCTATTCTAGTCACGTTGATCACACCGTTAGTGATTCTGGATGACAATTATTCACACAGAGCAGAGCCATATTCAAGGCAGCGCTACCTCTGAAAGAGAGAAGGCACTTAAAATACCTGAGCCCATGTGAAAAAACTCGCACGCCGGCTATTTGTGTTTTTTGATTTTGCATTTAAATAGCAATGCAAGAAATATGCAAAATACGAGGAAAGAAAATAGACTAAGGGAACATTCATTTCACACTTAAGAGGCAGCCCCACTTGAAAACACACAGTGTACATTCTGTGGAGGTAACAAGCACTGTAATCTTCATTTCCATAATCTAAAACCACAGGTGGCTGTAATTTGGTTATTAAAAGACTACAGTGTGTTTCAGTGTGCTGTAATGCTATAGCAGCGCAGAGGAGACATACAGTATCATCCCTGAGTGCAATGAAGATAATGAGGAGGCTTTTTAACCAGGCAACCTGATGAGCCCCAAGCCTGCAGAGAAAGGCTTGAAACCATGCCCAACTTCTCAGCTTCCCAAGAGGCTTTTCAAAATTCAATAAATAACATCTGTAGGCGATGTTGGGTGCAGACCTAGCAGAGTGCGTCATAACAGAGAGCTGGCTGAACAAAGAAACCATGACGACTGCCAGGTTTCCATAGCAACTGCTGCAAGGCCTGGAGAGTATAATAGCACATCAATCACTGTCCAAAAAGAACTTCATTATCAGCAAAAATAAACCTTTAGGATCTTTTTAGTGTGCAATTGCTGGTCAACTCACCTCAAAGCCCAGTTCTTTGGCAAATGTGGCCGCCTCCTAGAAGAGATAAAACACACACACACACACACACAAATGAGCAGTTAATTACAGAGTCACAAACAGAGCACAATGTCACACTCCAGACGTGAGGTAAAGACATCTCGCCTCTCCTCACATGTGCGGCCGTGTCACTTGAGAATCGGTAACCTGAGTTCGCGTCGCTCTGCCAAGCCCTGATTTAATAGGCATGCAGCCCACCCATTTAAACTATTGCCCGACATCATCTCATCTTACCACAGCAGCATGAGATAACACCACGTCAGCCTCCAGCCTTGAAACCACCACTGAAACCACCAATGTGTGCTGGTATGTGGGAATCCCCAACACTGCAGGCATTCAGCGGCTGCCATAAAGCGTGTTGCTTTAGCCCAGAACAGGTGCACTTCACACACCCACACCACTGTTTATGCAACTTATACAGGATCTCGTAAATCGTACAAACTTTACACCGATGCTGAACTTTTCCAAATATTTGTGCTGCACTATTTTTTTTGGGAGATAAATATTTTTCAATCGTGTCAGGCAGGAATTGTTTTCCGTTCATTACCATATGGTGTGATATGGCGAGCCCTCTTGAGGGTTTCATTCAAATTCATGCTGCATATTTACTGATATTTGTTTGTACTTTTATTCCATTCATACCCTGGTTTTCACACAATAACAAAAAGACATGCAAAAAGTTTATCAGCAGACTCCTGAAACTTGGTTGGGTTGTGTTTCTAAGCTGGACGTCACCAGAGCAGACAGGAGAACCGTTCACACATCAGCAACGTGAAGAACATCCATCATCTCAGGAAACCCTGGCATGGTGGCAGCTTCCCTCAAAAACCATCACAAACTGCTTAGGAACAGACTGAGGAACAACCGGGTCCCCACCGGACCGAGCATCCACAGGATGGGCGGGAACGAGCCGGATCCATGGAGCCTGAAACCCACAGAACCCCAAAGATCTACTGCAAACATCCCAGCACAAGACATGGCCGGAGGTCCCGTGTTCACTGGCCGAGAAGTTTGAGTCGTGTTGGCAGCACAAAGTCTGGGCTCTAAGGGTTGACTGGTCAGGATTATGTTGGGTGGATGCCGATTATTGGTAACCAAGGAGACCAGCGTTTAGATCCGACTGGTCTCAACATTTTCCAATCACACAAACGCTAATAGAAAACTTTATTGAAAGACCTTTATTTATTTATTGATGCTTTACATGTAGTTAATTAAAACTAAACTTTCCAACATTTACACTTGGTTGGTGGTGGACGACTACCTGAGAGGAGGAACCAATCAGATGGTGCTGTGAGGATCACAGAGAGGTAAAAAAAAAAGGCAGAAAAAATAAACTTATTTCATCAGAAGTCTGTTAAAGATGAACTCAACCAACGATACAGAAAAATATCTGAATATCAGATCCAATAATCGGTTGTTTTGATTCTGATCGCGTCTACTTTATGAAACAAAAATAACATTTTCTTTTATTTTAAAATACGTCTCCATTAAACTGAAGCTCTATGCAACAGTAAAATAATTCATTGTTCTGACAACGCAGTGAAGTTTATTAATTCTCCTTCACGCCTGAAAGAATGGAAAATATAAAACTATACAAAGTGACTGGAAAATTACCACCAAAACATGTCTGTAGTTAAGGGCATGTAGGACTGCACTTTCATTTAATACATAAAGTAATAAAAAATCAGTTGGTGACAAGAAAAGCCCATAAAAAGGAAAATCACTGGATGTATTTGTAGAAATGTTCAGGCTGTGATTTGTCCTTTTATTTTGTGAGAGACGAACAGAGAACAGTGGATGCTAACCGACGCCTGGAGTGGTCGGAAAATATACAGATACCAAAACAAAGGCCTGAATTTTCAGCAGCGATGCTCACAGCGCTCGCCGTGTGCTCGCCGTGTGCTAACCGTGTGCTAGCTGTGTGCTAGCCGTGTGCTAGCCCTGACGTCCAACATGCGATTGGTAATAAATAGGCCATGGCATGATCCTTTAGCTGATGACAGAAGCTGTTGCTTGTCAGCTCAGAACGATGTCACAGATTGCAACAGACAACCTCGTGCACTAAATTCACTTCTGCCCCCAGACGGGGCAATAAGTTGATGCTATGATTCTAAATAATCCAATTATGTGCAGGAGGAGGGCTGGTGTTTGCGTGACCTTGGGGAGAGGTTGACAACCTGGTCCTCAAACAGAAGGGGAGGAGATGACATGAAACAATAAGGTTACTGGTCCCTGGAGGGAAGCCTCATGGCTCTCTGCCTTGGATCAACATCACAGCAGCAGCAATATGTCAATTCATCACCCCGCCCCACCCGCACACCCACCCACACACACCGGCCAGACAATTAGCCGGCGCAGTCAACAAGCAGTTTTATAATCAGCGAAGATAGAGTCGTGTTCGCCTCTCACCCCCTCTGTCTTCTCCATCCATGGAGGGCTTAGGGCTCACATTTGTTTTCCTTTATTTACAACTACATATTGACTTTACTGCTCAGAAACGCTCCATCACCGACGAGCACGAGGCATCTCGCAGGGACACGAGCAGCTCGGAAAACGTCTTGTCAAAACAGTGATATTTCATATCAAAGCGTTTAACAGAGACACATGAATGAAGGCTGAAGCAACGCCGAGCGGCACACGGCTCTACCTCAGCCTCCGTCTCTCTCTAGTTAGGAGCTATAATATTAGTGAGAAAAGCCTTTCAACAGAGTGTGGGTGTCAAGAAGAAAAGATAATTAAAGCAGTGTCTATGAGCCACATGTGTACAGTGTAATCCCTTTCAGGAATTTATTAATTTCTGTGAGTTGTTCTGAATGCCAGCATCAAAAATATTTTGTACTATAAGCTCGGCTAAACCAAATATGCTGCTACGATAAATACTGTGCGGCGGTAAATATGCAATTACTGCGACTACACATGCGAGCCAATAACACTGAAACGATAGGCAATTAAAGTCACTATTGCTTAAAGGGTTTACATCGTTAATTTTCAGAAATCGTATGTTTCACGCTGTGTATGTTTCACGTTTGACGTGTGCTGTGCCGGTATGCTGTGGGAGACGGTTTTCTGATGACGGCCCATGTGCTTCTACAGCTGCTGCAACAATGACAAGTGCTTCGAGTGACATCTGGGCAAAATCCTCTTGTGCTCAAAGAAGCATCTCGTTTGTTCGGAGATTGCTGTGATTGCATGCTCGCCTTTGATGATCTGCTCCGAGTCTGATTCCAAAAGAGAGAGGACTGCTGCGGATTTCAGGGCCTGTAAGTTCTCCTCCTTCTCCTCTTCGGGCAAACAAGGTAAAAGATAACAAGGCGGGCTGAGTGCATGAGCCCTGTGCAGCCATAGTTAGTATAAAGCTATCAGAATGTGTGAGATGTTGCTGCTGTCAGAGGCTTAAACAGTCAAAGGGATATTTTTAGAGAGCTTAAGCTAATAATCCAGAGCCCAGTCAGGGGGGCGGGTGTCTACAATTTCTTGCCAAGCAAAATGAAAGAGGAAATACACACTTCATGCAAAGGGCAGTTTTCAGAGCTGCACACTTTGTTTTCCTTGACACGATAAGTGACAGGAGCCTGGTAGGCCAGGTTTAGACACAGTCTTAGCAGGAACACTGTGCTGTATATTATCTTTAATGTACGGGATAGAATAACTGATGTTTTCTGGCCTCTAGGGGGCAGTAAACAAGCTACAAACACAACACTACACACATATTTTTTTAGCAAACAAGGCTCCCAGTAAACATCAAACACATGCAGCAACATCTGCATCCTACCAAATAGAAAAACATGTTTACTCTGCTTTTAGCTCCGTGTTTGGTCTCCACCCACTGTTTAGCTGCTAGATGCGCCATTATTCTGAGACACTGAATGCATGGCTTTGTGCTGAGGAAGCAGGGTGCAGCCGGGTTTTCTTTTTCTGTTCTTTCACTAAAAACAGGAGCCTGTGTTGGCCAGAAGCAGCACAATGAGAGTAAACTTAGAAAATAAAGTTCAGGGTTAGAGGACCATAATAACTTGTGAAGCCCCCCACAGCTGAAGGAACCGCAGCGCCAGGCAGCCGTTTTCTGTGGTTTCACCGCTACCAAGGAGAAACAAGCAGTCCAGCATGTCATATTTTAGCATAATGACATTATATGCTTGAAATATTTGAAACTAATAAACGTAACATAACTGACATAATAATAAAACAACAATCCTGCTGGTGAAACGCTCCATGTTGCTCAGATCAAGGAACGCCGCGATCATCCTGAGAAAACTGCATGTTTGCTCTTAAAGCGCCGCTGAACGCACCAAAGGAAGCCAAAGAAAGAGCTGATAAATCATAGTTCTATAGCGGCTTTCAGGATAAAATATTCTCAGTAACAAACCAAAGCAAGCATTTAGTTTTTTTCTTTTTTCTGTCCTCTGTGTAACAAGTTGTTGAGCATATGTCACAGCAGGAGAGAGGCAGAAAAAAAAAATCCAATTTCAGTGTTTCCCAAAGAATCTAAATCAAAGAGCAAACCTCAGTGCTAAGGTTAATAAAAGTTGATAAGCTGAAAAGCGTAACTCCCCCAGGCCATTCAGAAAATAAGCATTTGCTTGACCGTGTTAGCCCAAGCTGATGCAGAGGCAGAAATTGAATTGTATTTGACATTTTGCGGAGGGGCCACGATACTGAGGAGGGTATAGCCCTGACAAGTTATTTACGACAACACCCCTGTTTTCTTCTTCCTTTCTGGGCATTTCAATAACAGCTCATTTCAAAGACGTCTGAGTTTTAAAGAAGTGTTTCGGGGGGAACTGATTTCTGCTGTTGTTGAAACTGTGCAAACTAAAAGAGAGCAGTTGGAAATGACAAATCACTTACTGTAGAGACCTTTGAAAGTAAACTGAGCATGTCTGGGTCATGGCATATCACATAATTCAGCCAATTATCACTACTTACAGATATATATATATAACAATGGCAAATGACATGTTTTCCTCATTCCCTGCATGTAAGCGTGAGACACCACT